CAAGAGGAAGACAGAGGTGCATTACTTTACCTCGGGTGGACAGGAGGAGATGTGAACGGAAAAAGTACAGAGTTCAAAATGTTGTCTCATCCGTGCTACGTCATCCGCGTTCTGTTCTAACTTCATGCTGCGCAAAACCGCCTCAACGTTTTCGGCGTTCTAAGATCGGTCAGTCTCTCAGGCAATGGAAAACAACTTTTACGTCGACGATTTTCTTATATCATTTACGTCCAGCAAACAAGCATCTCTCTTTGCGAGAGAGATAAGCGAGACGTTACTTCGAGGAGGGTTTAATTTGAGAAAGTTGATGTCGAACTCGCCGTTGGTGGTGAACTCCCTCCCAGATTTCGTGGTAGCAGACACTGCAGACACTGCATTTGGACTAATCGCACCACTCTGCCTACCCGCTAAACAATTGTTGCAACGCCTGTGTAAAGCCCAGTTAGATTGGGATCATTCGCTGACATCCGAGTTTTCTTACTTGTGGGATGAGTTGATAGCGTTCACTTGTTGACTCGGGAAAATCAGCATTCCAAGGGTTATACGCAAAGAGGATCCGCAGCAAACAGGGAAAACCGAACTGCACATATTTTGCGATGCTTCCGAATCCGGGTATGGTGCAGTTGCTTACTTCCGGCACACCCCTAAGGAAAGGTCCCCTATTGTGTATTGTTCTACAGTAAATCGAAGGTGGCACTCATTAAACCCGTGAATATACCTCGAATGGATCCAGCAGCGGCTGCGTTGGGCGCGCGCATCTGTGGTATCCTGAGAAGGAGTCTGTCAAGTTATTTCGATGGGGTTTGATTTTGGACAGACTCTATGAATAAACTCTACCACATACAGAACACGAATACTAGATTCAATACGTTCGTGGCCAACCGAATCGGAGTAACCCATCAATTTTCTTCTCCTAGTCAATGGACGCATGTAAAGTTGGAGGAGAACCCCACAGACTGGATCTCGAGAGGTATATACAACGAGGAAGACCTAGAGGAGTGGTTGAAGGGACCTACGATCCTACAGGATCGACTAAACACTTCCCCGGAGGAGACACCGTGGGACGCTATCCATGAGGGCATCGAAATAAAAGGGTCTGCAAACATAAACGCGACTATTGTCACTCATGCGTTCAACCCGCTCTTCTTTCACTATTCAGACAGATGGCGACTCACCAAGACAGTAGTCTGGCTGACAAGTTTTGCCTTATATTTCCATGTTCGGAAAATGCAACATTCGGGTGAGTGCCTTCCACACGGGAGAATAACAATGCGAGAGAGAGCTGAGGCCAAAATCAATATGACCAACATGTTCAGTTCAGTTCAGTTCATTTGCACAGGACGAATATGGCTCTTGCCAATCGAGCGT